AAGGCAGATACCAGCCCCACCCTGAGCTGCAGTCTATAGAAATTCTATCTCCTGACCCGTGTCAGATATTTGAAATCAGAATACCTTCTCAAGAGTGTTCATGTGATCAGGTGGGAACCTCTCTCCCCACTGGGCAGTACCAGCAGTGAACTGACTCAGATATCGCCCTATAAGGTTCAAAACATATTGTTGTTGTTATGTGCCATCCAGTCGGACTGGACTCATAGTGACCCCTCCTTGGGTTTCCAAGGCGGTATCACTACGGAAGTAGATTGCGCAACCTTCGTTCAGAGGAGTGGCTGGCGGGTTTGAACCACCAGCCTTCTGGTCAGCAGTCAAATGCCTTAGGCATTATACTACCAGAGCTCTCCAAACATATTACAGATTTTTTTTTTTTTTTTTTTTTGAGAGATCAGCCTTGAAAAGCAAGAAGTTTTGTTCACTTAAATGTTTGGAGATGAAGGGCAGTGCCAGCAAAGACCTGAAGCCAGAGAAGACGTCCAAGTTCCCCTCCCAGCTCCAGCACGTGACTCTCGTTATGGCCCTTGACAGTCTGCAGGTCACTGTCCCGTGGTGAATCTGTGGCTGTCACAGGGGCCAGCTGTCATCATCATACCCCCTCACAGAGTGGAAACCTCACGGGTGATAGGCAGTATGGTTTAATACAGTGCTCTGCCCACTCAGTGCTCAGGCGTGCTTTCTATCACGAGGCCAGGAAAAGAAAAGGGACTGTAAACGTTGCTACTTCTGAGAGCGCAGGGAGGCCAGACACAAGAGTTAGGCACCTGGAACTCCAATCTCGCCAGCAGGTGGTGCTGTGACAACAGCAAGCAAGAGAAACAAGTCAGAACCAGTTGGGTCTTGAGGCTGGCTGGCCTTGTCAAGGCCAGTGAGCCTTGGGCAGTGAGTATTCCGTGAGCCATGGCAGGGGTGTGGGAGGCGTGAGGGCGCGCACTTGGAAGCACGTGGTTGATCTAACACCAGAACCGCTTGGAGGGGCTTCACCTGGGAGCTGGTCTACTAGCCCAGCTACAAGCCTCGTCAGAGCTAAACACAGCCCCCTACAGATCCGCTTTCCCAGTGACCTGAGTTTCCCAGCAGGAAGGAGGAAATACAACAGGAGAGGACAGCCCTTCTTCCTAACACTCCACCTGGAAGTCCCACGGCTCCAGGGATCTTCAAATAGTCAGCCCTCCACAGTTCTCTAAGCAGTTCGACCACGACATATTAGATGCTCCCTTGATGACCAGAAATTAAAAGAAACTCAACACACACTTGAGGAAGCTCCCCTGCAGCCAGAGAGCAGATACAGAAGTAGGTCTCCATCTCTGGCAGAGGAGCTTCCTCCTTGCCATCTGTGTGCCCAATTTACCCTCTGCTCCCAAAGGCTGTCTTGCTCTTCACCTGCACAGGACCTTTTGGGTCGTATGCGTCCAATCTGACTCACTGATGTAGGTACACAGGAGTGGGCACTGACCAAGCTGGTGAACTGCTAAGCCTTTACTCATCAGCCACAAAGCCACAAGGTCAGATACATCCGAGGATGAGACCTACTGGCCTCAGTGGCTGCTGCTGGCACAAGCAGTTGTCACAGGACCCACCATGGGATCCTCGAGTGACTGCTGCCTCAGTTTACCACACGCAGGGCAGCAGGTTGACTTCTCCTCAACTGAGCTGGAGTGGAAGAGAGATGCCTCCTGAAGGGCTAGGTCTGTGCCAACCCAAGGCCATGGGTGCCCCTTCCTAGAGGGGATGTAAGAGCCGAGATCCAGCTTGGATCTCCTGCGGTGCATCATGTGGGTGTGAACCAGAAGCCTTCCACTAGAGCAGGCCAGAGCATGTGAAGATAGACAAGGGCAGCTAAGTGGAGTTGGGCTGTCTGTGGCCAACTGTCTGCTGGGGCTCTGTCCATCTCACTCACTTGGTAATGGGGCCCTTTGCTGGACCGAGATGAGCTCAGTCTTCTTCAGAGGCCTTAGTCATTTCCAAAGAGCGCAATGTACAAGTGGCCTTACACATATGTTGTGGCATTATCAACACAAAGGCAGTCCACCGATCTGGTCACCTAGTGAAGGGGCGGGCCATCTGCTACGGAGCCCATAGGAGCTAAGAAATGTTCATCACTCTGGTCACTGAACTAGCCAGGTTCCACTCATGAATGGATGAGAAGGAAGCCAGGACCTATCAAGGAAGTTGGTCCATGTGGGAGAGCAAGATCAACAGCATCTGCACTGCATGGTTCACAAGATGCGGGGTTGGGGAAGGTGGGTTGTCCACACTTGCATCAGTGTGTCTGGTAATTCAACTAGGAATATCGTATTTCCTAAGGGCAACCTCATGAGGGATATCAATGCTGATGTCAGATGGATCATGGCTGAAAGCAAAGAATACTAGAAAGATGTTTTACTGACTATGCAAATCCATTTGACTATGTGGTTCATAACAAATTATGGATAACATTGTGAAGAATGGGAATTCCAGAACACTTAATTGTGCTCATGAGGAACCTGTACATAGAGCCTCTTGTTCAATGGAATAGAACAAGGAGACACTGCATGGTTTAAAATCAGGAAGGGTGTGCATCAGGGTTGTACCTTTTCACTATACTTATTCAATCTGTATGGTGAGCAAATAATCCAAGAGGCTGGACTATAAGAAGAACACGGCATCAGGATTGGAGGAAGAATCATCATAACCTGCAATATGCTGATGACACAACCTTGCTTGCTGAAAGAGAAGATGACTTGAAGCACTTACTGTTGAAGATCAAAGACTGCAGTCTTCAGTATGGATTACACCTCAACATAAAACAAAACCCCTCACAACCGGACCAATAAGCAACATTACAATAAATGGAGAAAAGATTAAAGTTGTCTGGGATTTCATTTTACTTGGATCTACAATCAACACCCATGGAAGCAGCAGTCAAGAAATCAGATGTCTTATCACACTGGGAAATCTGCTGCAAAAGACTTCTTTGAAGGATCAAAGATGTTACTTTGAAGGTGCGCCTAACCCAAGCCATGGTATTTTCAATCTCCTCATATGCATGTGAAAGCTGGACATGAATAAAGGAGACCGAAGAAGAGTTGATGCCTTTGAATTGTGGTGTTGGTGAACAATACTGAAAATACCACAACTGCCAGAAGTGTGAAATCTGTCCAGGAAGAAGTGCAGCTGGAACGCTCCTTAGGAACAAGAACGGCCACACTTCATCTCACCTACTTTGGCGGTGCTGTCAGAAGGGATCAGCCCCTGGAGGAGGCTATCATACTTAGGGGCAGACCCTCAGTGAGACGGACTGACAGTGGCTGTATGACGGGCTCACGCACAGCGTGGACTGTGAGGCTGGCGCAGGCCCAGAGTGTTTTGTTCTGTTGTGCACAGTCACTGTGAGTCGGAGCCGACTTGAGCCAACCTGCAACACGGGCAGCCTGCAGCGCCTACATCAGTCCTGCTAGTGGAGGAGGGGAGCTAACCACCTGGCTCTTGATTTTCGGCGTTCAAGTGAAGGATATGTTAACCAGCTCACACTGTCCAGGGAACCCTGAGGGAACTGAAAAGGAACTTGGCTTTTTTTGGGTAGTAGAAGTTTCTGGGGACCTGCTCTGCGTGCCTTCTACCTGTTCCCCCTTTAACATCTACACCACAAGATGATACCACGCCACAGAAAGGCTGTACGATCAGCTACTTCTGCTGTTAGTCATAAGGGTAATGTCACCACCTCATTCAACGCAGGTTAATAGGTTGGGTGTTTTCCCATTTAAAAAAAGAGTCAAAAATACCTGAGAACCCCAACACTCCATCCACTCATTCCAAATGCAAGGTGGCTGTGACAGTTTGCAAAACCCATCTGGCTACTGACACACACACAGACGGGTCCGGTACTTGCAAATTTTATATTTATTGTAACAAAAGTTATGACCTGTGCACCTGTGCCTTCTGCCTGGACAGAATTCTGGGTGTGGAAATGATCTCGTGGAACTCTACAGTCATGCTGACCATGGCCGCAGGAACGGCACACGGGAGGGGTCAGGGGCAAGGCACGGGGCTGGGGAGGGTCAGGGGCTCCAGGGCCAGGGTCCCGTCTCCCACCTGGGCGCACCCTCGTGGGAAGAACAACAGTCCAGGACTCAGCTTCTGGGAGTCAGAACTAAAGGTGGGCTTGGAGGAAGGGTGGGCAAGGGGAGGAAATCAGTGATGGAGACGTGTTCTTAGGCCGAGACTACAAAACGTTTTAAGCATCACTATACACCACTGACCTATTTACAATAGAAATTTCTCAATCAACTGTTCTCTCAGAGAAAATTAGTGAACCCCAGGGACTTAAGTCACCTGACAGAGTAAAAGCAACTCCTAGGAGTTAGTCTCCATATTCTACAGATGTCTGTCATTTTCAAGACAAAAAAGAAAAAAATATAGCCTTTCCCCCAAAGTACATAATTATAGAACTCCGCTATTACTAAACCACTCAGCACCGGCAAGCGCCCTGCCTTCCCAGCAAACAAAACAAACAAAAAGCCATTAAAAATACTACATTACCTTTAACGGTTTTCTCTGTAATATATTAAAACCCTTTGTTCTTTGTCTTTACACATCTGATACGTTAGGGGAAAAAATTAACTAATTTAAATCATATCGGTAAAGCGTCACTAGAAGAAAAGTAATTATTTTAAAAGAGCAACGAAGCCAAGGACGGAAGAAAAGTGAAACCACAGACGAGCCGCACAGACGGGTGGCGGGAGGGAGACGGCAGGAGGCGGAGTAAAGGCCCTGGTTAGACGCGAGCCCGGAGACTCTGCGACGCGCTTTCTCGTTGGTTTATTGGTCAGCGCGCAGGCGCGGTCAGAGCGGTGTATCGTAATAGTCCGGCAGCTGGTCCGGCGCGCAGGGCCG